CAATTTAGTTTTTTTTTTTTTTGTATTAAAGGGGAAATTCGGTTGAGCCGTTTAAAAGTTATGGGGGGGTAAGTAAGGAAGGGTAACCGAATGTCTGCAAATATACTCGAGTGGGGTCTCAAATGAAAGCGCACTAAATGGGTATGTTGATGACTTAATCAAGAGAAAATGATATAAAATACCTATAAAAAGTATAAAATAAAAAAAATCAATTAGACCCCCGATAAAATAGAAATATGTAGATGATAATAAAATGTTCGGATCGGTCCCCTAACGCCACGTTTTTTTAATAATTACTTTTTAAAGGAATATTAGATTTTTGTCGGGGGTTTTTGAAATTTTAAATTTATAATATTTTTTGGCCATTATTTCGCCTGATCGAAAGCGATGATGTGGCCGATGATGATGCATGCCACGCCGACAGTCAGATTGTACCACTCTGAAAGCACAGGGCCTGTCTGCATTTGTGTGTCAGACATTTTTGTGCCAAACTTTTACTTGCTCAAAATCTCCCTGTTCCTTCTCCTCCTCCATCCCGAGGCCAGGGTACATTATTGCGGTTGAAGGCAAAGTCAAAGTCAAAAATCAAAAATCCTTTATTCCAATTAGACCCTTACAGGCACTTTTGAACGTCAAACAAAATTTTGAAGATATAATGTCAGTCTGTCGGTCAGTCCTCTTAGTGAAGCTATTTGCTCGTTCAAAAGTTTAGATTCCGATTGAGAAGAACGACCTAACGACCCTTTTTAAATCAATTTCACATACAGGTTCCTTATACAAACAGTTGGTTCAATTATGGGAGAACAATGTAACACTAATATTTATTGAGAGAAATATAAAAAGAAAATAACCTTAAGACTAAGACCTTGACCAGCAACATCAGCTCTATTAGGCCTCATTTCTAGTGGTTGGTTGGCTATTTAAAGGACTCCACGTGTCATATGCTCGGGTCTGGTTGTGGTTATCTGCAAGCCGAAGTAGACCGCGCTTGCAGTGGCCTGAAATCGTCGAACCAAACGCTACGCTCGGAGTATTCCTCCTTTGCCGGCTGGGGCGTGAGGAGGATAGTTATTTTTTATAGATTGACCTAGCTTTTTCAGTACTTTATGATATTTATCATATTATATGAGCAGCTATATAATATGCTAAATGCTAAACCACGATTGCCAAACCGAAACATTTGGATTCGATAAACAATCAATAAAGATAGTAATTATCTTTCTGTCTACTACAATTTTTAAGAAAATTTATAAATGCTTACTGTTACATTGACCTAACATAAAGCAAGTATCATCTTCAGAATACCGCCTAAGTAACTTTTTAATATCAAAAGTCCCTCAAAAAGACAACAAAAAAAGATTTTTCTTTATAAAACACAGCTTACTCCTGAGCGGGATTAAAATATAAGTTGTTATCGCTCCCTAGAGGCGGCAACCGAACAAAAACCATAACAATATGAGCGACGTTTGTCAGGACATCCTCAGGTGGATACGAATATAAATTCCGTCACTTTTTCTCCTGCGGAGGAAACAACTCTCATTTGTGTTACTTCAGAAGATCCTTCATAAATGTTGTAGATTAATTTAATGGATGAAAATGAAAATAATAATCATGTTTTGTACGTATAAAGACTTGATCTTCGTTTAGTGACGATATCTGACACAAAGGATACAGCTATTTTCAAGCCTTGAAAACTTCTAACGTATAACTTTGTAGAGATTTTTAAGTTCAGTGGCACTCCAGTGGACTAAAAAGGGCTTTAAAATAAGTCATTAAATTCCACCTACTCTTTTATTGAACAAGAGGTATGTTATGATATCTTAAGCCACTGGGACTAGAAGGAACATTTTCTGGATAACCAGTCATATATCAAGTTTCCAAACAATCAAACCACACAAAATGAAGGAACTCAAAGTAGACGAATTAAGCTTGCCTATTACCCGGTTCCTTGCGTAAAATTATTCACAGCTCCTATATTAGTATTAGCTACTACAACTGTGCAATACTGATACTCAATTGGGTATTTTCCTCAGTCAAAAATATATGATTCCTTTAAGATTTCGATACAATTATACATTCAATAGTAATCGCATTTCATTGATAGGTTTGACAATATACTTAATTTTAGATTTTTATTAGTTATATTTCAATTAAAAAGTACCTATGCTGTTTGACGCAATAATATTATGACGTCACTAGCCTGTTTTCCATTCCATATCAAATTCATAGAACAGTTTCATTGTTTGACATTTCGATAAAAGTATTGAATTTGACTAGTTGTCAAATAAAGTAATTTCTCCAGTATTAAATGGCTGTCATCATTCGGATAAACCATCCTCTATAATCAGTATATTAATGAAACCGCATTAAAATCTGTCGCGTAGTTTTAAAGATTTAAGCATACATAAGGATACAAGGAGAGAGAAAGTGACCTTGTTTTATGTTATGTAGTGATGGTACTTCCTACCTTTGATACCACGGAAACAATTTCAGTTTCAAAGGCAAAAGTTATCTAAGTTGATCTAGACTGGAACCTTACCCGAAGAGAAGCGATTAATTATAATGGTCGCGTCGAAGCGCACTGAAATCTCGTTATAACAAACGTTGGTAAGCACGGTGTAACACTGGATATTCTCATTACTATGCTAAAACGACGGTCAGCTGTGACTGTGGTACAAGTCACAAGAGATTTACTGTTTCAATCTTATTGGAATAGAGGTTTTTAGTCGGTAGAAGATAGATACCGACTTTTGCCCCACCCAGGGCACAAGTATATAGCCTCTCTCGCGCGGTTTCACTCGCTGCTTGGCTCCATTTAATCGTAGCGTGATGCATATAGCATATAGCACTCAGGAACATTGTAGCTATATATCCTTGAAAGAATTTTGGCAAACCGACCAGCTGTTCCAAAGATTGCCCCCTACATTCAAACTTACAAATTTTAGCTCTTTATAATATTACTAGCTACTCTCGCGCGGTTTCACCCGCTGCTCGGCTCCATTTGATCGTAGTGTCATATTTTATAACCTATAGCACTAAGGAATATTGTAACTAAATCCGTGAAAGAATTTTGACAATCCAAATTTAACCTGTTTATAATATAAAAAGAAGGTAAAAAGGCAATTGATGATTTTCCCCTGTCAAAAAACGGTATTATCAGATTTATGTGTTTACTAAGTAGCGTTTCCAGCGCCTGGATTTACTTACGTATGACATTTTATCTTCTTTCTCATCTTCTCTTATTTTTTTAGCTTAAGTTCTGCACCGATTGGCTTCTTATACCGAGCGAGGGCCATTTCGCGTGCTTGTGACGCATATTTATATCTACAAAATGCAAATCCAAAAATAAGCGTATATTTTAGTCCTAGTTTACGCTGCGTCTTATAACTTGAACCAAGTTCCAGCATAGACGGTAGGGCTCTACGGCAATTAGACAGCATTTTAATGGCACAACGGAATAAGATATTTCTAGAATTATTGCAAAGTTTACCTATCCAGCCATCGCATCGAATGAAACACAGAATCGCTTTTACCTCCCTTCCCCTCCCATCCAGGCAATGTTATGAAACAATGAAATTTCTAGAAGTTGTTTTTAGTTTGAAATCTGATATTTTGTGAGATTTCATTGGAAGTTTACTTTTAATACAAGTTCCTAGTAATATTTTTTTACGATAAAAAAGTGAATGTTGGTGGATATTTCGCTTACAGGTTGCTGCATTTTTTTTATTTTTGTACCTATAGAAGTACTATACTTAGACCCGCTTCGGATTCCTAAGGGTATAATGATGTTACTAAACCTAAATTTTCCACCCCACTCGTTATAGAGTGTATTCATGTAAACATTTCATCATCAAATTTCAATCACACTGTCTATTAAAAAGCGCATCAAATTTCGTTACGTAATTTTAAAGATTTTTAAGCATTTATGTGTAGGTAACCTTAAAGATTTAAGCATGTTCCATACAGGTACAGGCAAAACGACTTTGTTTTGTACTGATTAACTCTGGTAGGCACCAAAAAAGAGTCCATTTTCAGACACACAATAAACTAGTTATAATATTAAAACAGAATTAATTCGCAACACTTATTAATAGACCCACGCAAAATGGTTCAAATAAAACTCTTAGGTGGGATAAAAATTAAAAGTAAAAGTAGGCAGGCACTTAAAAAAACTTGAAGATGAATGTTTTATTGAGTTTTCGTACTGTTTCATTAATTTTAACGGCAGTTTTCATCGAGTTTTATTATTTAATTAATGTAAATTTTTCGTTGAATAATTTGTTAGTCTGTCGGGACGTTTTTTTTTCCTTATTTTTTTGTATTAACTTTAAGAACTCACAAATGTTCATTAAGCTTAGTTCAGTTGCTTTTTAGACTTTTTGAATTGAACATGATACACGAACGTCAATGTAAGGAAGTTATTAATAGATTTTTTGTGTCCAATGATAAATGACCCCCTCATTCCTCATTGCTCACTCACACGGCGAAACACATCGTGCTTGTTTCATGGCGATTTTTTATGAGGCCGTGGTATCAATCCGAGAGAGCCGACCCATTCGTGCCAAAGCATGACTCTCCCACACTTAAACTATTGTATTTACACATACCTGATTAAATCATATTATTATATATATTTTATTTTCCAATTTCCTTCGTAGAGATCGGAACGATGTTTATCATTCAAACTTGAAACACAAAATGTTCTTTTAATTTTGAATCTGTATTTAACTTTGATGTTAATTTATACAAGTTCTATGTAAATAAGTAAATATTTATTACGTGTTATTGTAATTTGACTCTAATTATCTACCTACTGTAATTAATTAGATTGAAAACTTTCCAACGGAATCAGAATTCAGGGTGGGTACGTTGCCTAGTGACAATTGACAAGGCCACAACCTGGATTATATGCTCTAATAAAAGGTAAAAACATTATTGTTTATATTTTCATTGTAAATCCAAACTAATATAAGGTATGGAAGAGCCAAGCTTCGGCAGGAATGGGTCGGCTCGACCGGAGTGATACCACGGCCTCACAGAACACCGGCGTGAAACAACCCACAGCGTTGTGTTTCGCCGTGTGAGTGAGGTTACCGGAGGCCCAATCCTCCCCGCCCCCAATCCCTCCTCAATCCCTAAATCTCCAAATCCCTAATCCCTAAAAGGTCGGCAACGCACTCGTAACTCCTCCGTTGCGAGTGTCCATGGGCGGCGCTGATTGCTTACCATCAAGTAATCAGTCTGCTCGTTTGCCAACCTATCACATAAAAATAAATGCGAAAGTAGCTCTGTGTGTCTGTGTGTTTGGAACTGGAGTAAGGACATATGTAGGATAGTTTTTAAACCAAAAATCTAAAGGAAGACACAATTCAACGGGTACAAAGTCGCGGGCAAAAGCTAGTATGGCAATATAATTAATATTCGATGAAATCAGAACACATTTCTTTTGGAATTTAAAATCGCAAGCGTGGTGATTAATACTCATACCTTCTGCATGACAGCTCAGCAACATAGGTATTTATAGGCTGATCATGATTAATATGTATATAAATAAGAAAAACAAGTAAATTTAGCAACCTTGGATAATAAAACAATACATAAATTGTAGCTTAAGAAAAGTGATATTAATGTTCTCCATAATATATATATTTTACGTATTTTTCAATTTAATTTTAAATATAATAAATTTATTTAAATATAATTAAGTTATTTTAAGATATTAAAACAGACCTTCCTCTCTCCTGTTTGCCTAATTTTGCTGTGCCCTACAGGGTCCATAATTGATCTCACACAACTTGTTACCACCTTTAAATGTACTTATGGAAAAGCAATAAAGATATTGAGTATTGAAATCCATTTATTAAAATTGTTGTAAATACAATTCTGCTGTCTCTCTTATCATAGTTCTTGCATCATATCATATTTAACTCATACACAGAAAATGTTTTGAACAATTTATGTAAGAATTAATTGCATCGCTGTCGCGCCATCTTAAATCAAAATGATGTATTATTTCCCCAGGTGGGTGCACAGATCCTGGCATGTCCTCAGATTGCTCATTACCATAGTAAGTGAACGGTATTATTCGGTTAGAGTCTGTGGTATGAGATGCAAAATTCACTTCGTAGATAACAAACTCTTAAAGTTATCCGAACTGACATTTTTTATAGATTTGTTAATCTTGTCTTTTCAATAACCGTTAAGAAAAAGAAAAAGTTACCCGCATTTTGTTCGATCTTAAGAACTTTAATATTCAGTAGGTAAGTACATACTGTTAGCTGGCTGTTTTTTTTTTTTGTATAATAATGTGATAGGTCGGCAAACGACCAGGTTGATTACTTGATAAAGCAGAAGTTACGACAGCAGCAGCGCTGCCGTTCTTTTAAAGTTTAGGGTTTTGAAAACTTAAGAATGGGGACAAGGGAAGGATTAGGCCTCCAGTAACCCTCCAGTAAACAAATTACAAATAGGTATGTGCAACAGCGTAAAATGCTACCTACTCGAATATACATTAATAGTCTCCTTTACACAAATACGAAATAGACTTCCTCAATTTGCAACATTATATCTAAGTCCCACAATAAGTTTCGAGATTCACGAAAAATATCAATTTCGTGTATTGGCTTACTGATTACTTATCCTTTTGAGTACAAAGCCCTCGGGCGTTGACCTTGGTCCTCACTGAGGTCCGAGACCCTCTGTGGAATATGGAAAATTTATTACAGCACACACACGCATAAATTGAGCTAGGACGAAAACGTGATAAAATTACATTAACGTTTAAAAAAACATGGGAGATGTACAAACTGGATTTAAAAAAAAAACACTTTCTTTGATAAAATAAATAAAAAACTAATCCTCATAACGCAATCTATACTTATCTATACTAATATAATTATAAAGAGGTAAAATTTGTAAGTTTGTATGTAGGGGGTAATCTTTGGAACCGCTGGTCGGATTGCCAAAATTCTTTCACTGATAGATAGCTACAATATTCCTGAGTGCTATAGGCTATAAAATATCACGCTACCTTCAAATGGAGCTGAGCAGCAGGTTAAACCGCGCAAGAGTAGCTAGTCACTTAAAAAAATATGCTTCCATGGCATCCCGAATTTTTCATATTCCCAACAACTCCCAAATGATATCACTGACAATGAACTTTTAACTGTCATGGTGCTGCGGCTCTCCATGGGTGGCGTCGACTGCTTACCTGCGCTATATGTTTTAGGAAACGAAACCGAATAGTTACACCTGATATTTGCTCCCGTGACTCATTTCGAATCAATGAAATAAAAACAAAACACAGCGAATCCATTTTAGTGTGGGTAAAATTTTATATGAAACCAAGACTGCTAAAAGAAATTGAAATAACTATAAATTTTTTGTTCCCCATACCTATAAAATGAATATCAACAAACATTTCCCAGAATAATAAGTAATTTTAATTGTCCGTTGCTAACTGCAAAATCAACAATTAAAAGTCGAACACCTTGAGAAATAATATTCTCCAGTCACAATATTAAACAGCGGTTTAAATAACTATTAATTTCCTCAATTTACTTTTTCTTTACAATTAATAAATGTGGGTTTCGTGTGTATAAGCAACTTATTTCATGGAAAAGTAAGCTAACTTGGTACTAAAATCAATTATCAAAGTTTTATATTGAATTAAGGATTCAATTCAATATATAATAGTAAGCTATTAATTATTAATTGTTATTAATTTATAATAAAAAGTCATAAGTATTTTTTTGCAAAAAAAAAACCTAATTTATTATATAGTTGATTTTGGCCGCAAAATGACCACTGCTGAACTTAGGCCAGCTTTGGATCAGACGGTTGGAAGTGTCTCCGCCTTCACCACAACTTTTACTTTTTATAAAAAGTCTCCATCTTCAAGGAAGATGTAGGACGACCTGCGCCACTTATGTCGGGACATTATTTCTGCTCAAGAATAATGCAATTCCTCTGAGCCTTGGAGGCGACGGTCAGTTTACAGAATTAAAATTGACATCATAACTACGTCCGGGCTAGCGTTTTCACTCTCAATACCAAGAAGACTATGGGTTATTTCAGACTATAATACATCCTATGTTCATTCAGATCCCTTCATCCACATAACCATACCAACAAACTTTCGAGTTTATAATTAAATTAGTAAAATAATCCCGAAAATGCTCACACGCATTAAAAGTTTCTTCGCTAACAAGTCATTTACAAGTAAACATTTTTATTACTATAATATACGGAGTCAGGTTTTTGTCTCATAAGTACTCGGTCGATCCATCGGCCCAGGATCTATCGATTCAACCATGTAAACATAGAAACACTATATTCCGGTGCATCGCAGTAACATGAATGTCTTGCAACCCGCAACGAAGTAAATCGGAAGATATTATTCGAGGAGAAAAAAAGAGTCAGCTTAGTGCCATGCGGAATTATGATTTGTGTAGAAATACTTATATTAAATATTAGCTACTCTCACGCGGTTTTAGCCACTGCTCGGCTACATTTGATTGTAGCGTGATGTTGTATGGCCTATAGCAATCGGGAATATTGTATCTATCCGTCATTGAAAGAATTTTGCCAATTCGACCAGCGGTTCCAAAGATTACCCCCTACATACAAACTTACAATACCTCTTTATAATATTAGTATAACTATAGTATTTCTTCAATATTCTTAAATATTTCATACTGTGTCGGTAAACAATTAAATCATCCGAATATGTTAATTATCTCGTCGTGGACTATTTTTGCAGTTATTAAATAGGTAGGTATACTTTTTACATTTGTTTAAATAAAATGTTCACATTGCAGGTACCTATTGTAAACGAATTTTCCGTATAAAAACTGCAGTAGTTGCCTTAATGCAGCATCCGTCCAAGATACCTCAAGTGGGCAAAATGAATTTACTACTGCTGTGCTTCGTTGCATTCAGGTACGTTTTACAATTGTAGTAAAATTACTTATGATCTTGCTTTACTTGACTAAACTAACTGTGGAGACTGTCTCATTATTGGTTGAAAGGTCGCTGATGTAAAAGCCACGTGACAAATTTCGCTAGTTCCACTCGACTCAGCGACAGGGGTAGGCGACGGACTTGTCTTTCTAATAGGCTTCGCCTTCACGATGGAGGTAGGCGACCAGACCCAGTTGCTGGTTGAAGGTGTATTTGAAGGCTATTCATTCAATGTCGCCACGACTACAACCCTCCCCTGGCCACTGCAGGTCCCGTCGCGAGATCTGTCACACGCATGACATGGCATGGCATGGCGTCCACCGTGAAGCTAAATTAGCCGTTGAAATTACTCTATTGAAGTTTTAACTCCATGTCAAACCGAAATAGTTCTTTAATAATTTAAATAAACACTTGTTTAATTGCAGCACATTTAAAACAATAGTGTGTGATGATCCTATAGTAAAAGTTGAACAGGGATTGGTGCTGGGTAAAGTCCAAGAGGCTGTCGTTGGTGGTTATCAGTACTACAGTTTCGAAAACATTCCCTACGCAAAACCACCCGTCGGGCCCTTTAGATTCAAGGTAATTTTAATACTCTACATTATATTGAAATATCTTGACTTAATCTGCATATTTATTCGTTCGTGATTATTTTTGCCAGGCACCTGAAGCTCCAACCCCATGGGAAGGCGTTAGGAATTGCACCGCTCTGGGACCCATGTGCCCACAATACAGCCCTTTAAGTGACTTATTAAAACTTGGCAATGAAGACTGTCTCACCGTAAACGTATACACTCGCAATTTAACAGGAAAGTCATCTGTTCTTGTCTACATTGATGGATTTGCCTATTCGTTTGATAGAGATTATGATGATCTGTATGGAGCTGATTACATGGTTAAAGATTTAGTAGTAGTCACATTCAACCATAGAAGAGATGTATTTGGTTTTCTGAATCTTGGTACCAAAGATGTCTCTGGAAACGCTGCTTTGAAAGATCAAGTTGCGCTTCTTAAATGGGTTCAAAAGAATATTGCAGCATTTGGTGGGAATCCAGACAGTGTAACTTTGGCAGGTTTAAGTTCTGGGTCAGCAGCGATTGCGCATCACTTGATGTCACCTTTATCCACAGGACTGTTCCACAGAGCCATTATGCTGAGTGGAGTACCTACTTGTGATGCCATATACTCATACAAAGTCAAGGAAAAATCTTTTCTCCTTGGCAAACAATTAGGCTACGATGGTGAAGATCCAGAAGAGCTATTAACGTTCCTTCAAAATGTACCCTATGAAGATCTGATTCACAAAATGGTTTACGTTTCATCTGCTGAAGAACAAACAAGTCTATTATTGAAAAAAATGAGCACTTTCGTGCCAGTTATCGAAGACGACTTTGGCCAAGAAAGGTTCATAAGTGAGGATATTACGACAGCTTTGAAAAATGGACTTGTCAACAATGTTGAAATCTTGATTGGATATTCTGATCAAGAGGCTCTAATTGTCGTTAATCAGTACGCTGATTATATGTTAAATCTTTACAAAAATAACCCTTTGCTTTTTGTTCCCAACAAAATATTGTACCAGGAGGATATTGAGGACAAAAAACCTGAAATAGCTAACGCGATCAAGAAGTATTATTTGGGAGATAAAGAAGTGAGCGTAGATAACATGAAAGAATTCGTTCAGTGCAACAGCCACTCCTGCATGATATACGATGTTTTGAAATTCGCACAAAAGGTTTCTCAATTGACTGACACCTATTTGTTGAAATTCAGTAGTGTTTCAAGCAGAAACGTATATGGTAACGAAGGTCAGAAGTACAGCATCAAAGGAGCTTCGCATGGAGACACTGTCTTATACATGTTCGATCCTAAGCCGCTGAACATGGTCGTAGACGCCAACAGCAAAGAGTACGCTATGATACGACAATTTGTAGGCAGTTTATCGACATTTGCTGCTTCTGGGTACGTTTAAAGTGATACTATTGTAATTTTGTCATCAAAACCACCACGTCAGAATTTTCGAAATTATTGTTACTAGTCCCAAGTTGAAATTTCAATTTACACTAAAGTAATAAAGGCTCAAATTATTTCTCAAATTAGAAACTTCATAATTCTTTCTTGATCGACAAATAAGATATACATATGGGACATCAACAGATAACCTGAGGTGGCCTATTAGAAGAAGATCTCTATGAATGTTCTCTGACGATTCGAATATCTAATTTGTGCACTGAATACTTTCTGAATGTCTTTGTAGATTCAAGTTGATAAAATACTAGCTTCATTTAACCTCATATTTTTTCTTTCAGTAAACCAGCACCTGAATCTGACTGGCCTAAATTCACTGTTGACAGCCAAAACTACGTAGAATTCACAGACACCATGACTTTAAAACAAGGACCTAACAGTGCTGACGTTCAGTTTTGGGACAGCATCTACGAGCAGGCAAATCATCCCATCTACCCGTACTAATTTGGCTACAAATCTCCAGAATTATTTTTTACCTTCTTCTTCAGGCTTTTAATTCTGGACCACAATTGGTTTAAAAGAAAACATTGTTAATAAATTGTTAAAACATCTCGTCTAGTTTTGACGAATAAGCTGAATAAATTATGATTTCATAATTGAAACGCGTATTTTATTACTAATAACTAGTGGATTTCTTTTATTTTTTCTTAGCTTACTATCCTATGTCTTTTCTCTAGTTCTAAAATATGTCTGTACCAAATTTAACAGAAATAGGCTCAGTAGTTTAGGCGTGAAGAAAAGACAGACAGAGTTACTTTCGCATTTGTAATATTAGTTTAGATGAGGTGGGCTTAATGCCATGGGCATTCTCTATAAGCCAAACCTTTAGGTGATGCAGAGATAAACCAGTGTAATGTGCACAAAGCAAGCATTATCTGAAACAATTATGCACAGACTTTTTTATGTCAAAGTTTGGCAAACGGGCAGACAGATTACCTGGTGGAATTTGGCGCCGCCCATGGACACGTGTAATACCAACTGAGTAACTTCAAAAGCGTTGAAGGTCGGCCTCTAGGGATTTATGGATAAAGAATTTGAGGATGGGAGTTAGGGAAGGCGGAAAGGATTGGTCTTCTAGTAATCTCACTCACGCGGCGCAACACAACGTAAGGGTTGCTTCAAGCCGGTTTTCTATGAGGCTGTGGTATCAATCCGGTCGAACAGACCCATTCGTGCCAAAACATGGCTTTCCCACCCTTACATGGATATGTGTATCATACTGTAATATAAGATAAAAAGGACAATACATACCTACTACATAAAAAGTATTATAATATATTATTTTATGGGTTGATGCCGATGATTCACGAACCTCTTCAAAAGCAACTTCCGTGTCTTACGAAGAAGAATTAAATAAAATTTACCCTTTCTTTATATTCGACATTTCACATTTTTGAGTGAGAGTCAAGCTTTGGCACGAATGTTTGTTCAACCTCGAAATATCAACATAAAATAACCCCTTAACCTCAAAACCATACCCCAAAAGGCAACGAAGTTGTAACTTCTAAATGATCCAGGTGTCCTTGGGCGACATGGTTTGCTTAACTTTAAGTAATCCTTTTGCTATCAACATATCCTAAAAAAAATATTTATAAAAATCCTGTGGGACACGAGAGTTTTACAGTAGCATCATCTAGCAATAAAAACAGGCCTAATATTTTTTTTTTCATTTCCTTGGTGATCACTGTTCAGAAGAGCGCTGTTTTGAGCGAGCCATGATAATGAGCACTCATACTGAGTTTTGCACACCCTCTTCTACACCCATTGAGCTGATCAAATGGATCGATGATGCGATGATATTTCATTTTTCTTAATTATCTAATTTTTTTTATCAATATTTGACAGATGAATATAAAGTCTTGTTCATTTTCATAATTTATCGCCGTATATAATGTAAAAGGCGCTTGCTGGCTGATTATAATTATGATATCATTACACAGGCCTAACAAGTAGCCTGTAAGAGCCACAATGTCAGCCAAATCATTTTTTTTTTATATTTCTTACTTGGTGAGTATATTTTTTTTTCATATCAATTATGATTTTATCGTTCGAAGGTTATGTGATGTGAATGATGTGAATTTTTGATCTAAACCGTTAATTATGGAACAATGAAGCAGTTTTTACCATAGTTTTTGAGTATTTATTTCATTAATAATTGTTTTTATTAAATTTTTCTTAATACTCATTAAAATACTCGTTGTTTCTCATTTTATGGCATCCTTTGCCAAACTGTCGATTTTGACTGCTCGGTTGAGCAACTGGCTGCTATGCAACATGTAACAAGTTCGACTCCCTCAAGGAACAACTCCTTGTGCGATCCAAATTGTTGTGTCGAGTCTGGGTATGATGGGCATGTGAAATTGGTAGACTAGTTTCAAGTCTCAACTGTGAACTGAACAGCCTGACAGAATTCCCAAAGCGTGAAATTAAAAACTATGGTTACTTAACGTACATAAGATACGTTAGATAAGTTAACTATCGTGGAAACTGTAGGTTATGAGAGGTATTAACGTTTAGCTAGCGATAATAGAATCTACGGTCCTTCGAGGGAGAAAAATCATCAAATGTAAGTCATTTGATGCGACTGTGTCAGTGGTGCGACTGTACTTTGTATTCTATAATATTCTTCTATTACTATAATATTCTTACACTAATTTACAAAGTGTGTAAAAATAAGACTCTCTCGAACTCAAATGGTTGACAAAAAATTCAAAGTGTCCCTTTCCTTTCAGAAACCCGACTCCAGACTCGTCCTTAGGCGTTTCCTGGCCTCAGTACAACAAATTTAAAAGCTAACAAGCGTATGCTATCGCAGCTGACAACATCACCATAGACTACAAGCCAGACGCAAAAGACATCAAATTCTGGGAGAACATTCTCGAATACGCTCACATCAAATTCTAGTCTAGATTTCTGTTATAAATTATTTTCTATTGTAACCTGTTGTTGTTTTTCTAGTCTTTTTATCACCACATCTTCTGTTCCTGCTGGTTGGAGTTATCAAGAGAATACACAATTGACAATGCAGTAGCTTTCCCTGTTAAACCCGCTTGCCAATTGTGGAGATGGATATCAGAGGCAGCAAGAAGACTGCTTGGTACAAAAATATGCGCCTAGATTGGCAGAGAGGCACTTGCATCGATTTTAAAATTTAAATTTAGAAATATTTTAGGCGGTTTTTTATTTTTTATAATTATATTACATTTATTACCATTTAATTATGAGCTATTGAATCCAATCCTGTTTGGTGCTGCGTTGCAATTATTATTTGTGTACTACTGTAGCCCCAATTCAAAATAAAGCAACCCGTTCCTATCAATTTGTTATTAGCAACATTTAACAAAAAAACTATTTGATATTAATTTATAACCAGGCGCTCTTCCTTGCTTTTCGATTACATTACAAATCGACGTGAATACGATACTGCTAAACAGCTGAATCAAATATGATAAAAACTCAAAAAGAAACAGGTCAAGCTACATATTGATGAAATAAAATCTGGCATGGCATAACTATCATGTAAACCTGGACTTTTTAATTTCTAGTTGTAAGTTTGAAATCGCCAATCCGCCTTGAGCAAACATGGTGATAAATGTTCAAACCTTCTCCTTGTGAGAAGAGGTCTTTGCTAAGCAATGGTCATATACATAGAGGATCATGGATAATGATTTTTTTTTTATTATTATAGATATATTTTGGATTAGGGATTTGGAGATTGTGTAATTGGGGAGGGATTGAGGAAGGGGAAGACTTGGGCGAAACACAATGACGTGATGTGGATTTACTTATGGTGCGTGTTGGTTCATACAAACTACATACGACATTATTATGTTATTTTGTGTTTAGTATGAATTTTCATAGTGAGGACAGTAATACATCATCTGTCTGTCAATATTTCAATTGTTGTGTATAGCAATTTTTTTTTGTGATTGTCATCAACTGACTTCTCCCGCCCAGGGTCGGGCGGGAGGGAGTGTCAGACTCTTACTGACTAAAAATCCACCTGTTCCTACTCCTGCTCTAAGCCGAGGTCGCGCCTCATTGCGCTTACCCCGCAACCCCGACTGAACATCAGCCCTATGGGGCCCAGTCTGTGGTGGTCTATTGGCTCTTCGAGGCGCGCGCGGAACGCTACGCGCCGTACGCTCGGGTCTGGTTCTGGTCGGGCGACGAGCTACCCTTACTCGCCGTCCGCAGACCCGTGCTTACGGTGGCCGGAGATCGTCCCTTGATCCCCAACGCCCGTAGTGTCGCCAGTTGCGGCGGCTGGGGCGTGAGGAGGAGGATTGCTCCCTCACGCGGGCCGCATATGTTGATATGTTGATATTACATATATGTTAATACAAATGTAATAAAATACCTTTTTTGAGAAGGGGGTAATCATCAAATTGCTGTATGTCTGACATCAAATGACGTAACATAATGAGTATCTATCTTTATATATTTATATAATTTTGCTGTACGTGTGTATGTTATTGAACTTCTCCTAAACGGCTTGTCCAATTTAAATGATTTATTTTTTTCTGTGTGCATTTGAGTGGCGCCCTGGATGGTTTAAATTCACCTATCAGCTCATGTGATCTCGGAAGGGCCTATGTGGGGGTTTTCGAGGTACTGCTTTTAATGTTATATAATGAATTGATACTGAAATCCCTTTATGGGCTTTCCTACAATTGACCATTTTAAACTTTTCTCCGAAATATTTGTGACGAGCTAAATTACAAATAGTGTACTTACGGAAGATGCATGTGTATGCGTGTGTTATAAAAAAATGTAAAATATGGCATTATAAGTATAACGGTACCTGAATATTGTTGTTTATTTTTACAGAAATTAAAAACATTTGTTCAAATACATAATTATTAAATATTAACAATTTACATAACAGACAAAAATTCTTTACTTACTTAACATTTTGTACTTTTTTATTTGTATGTACCGGTAGCCCGTGTATCTACGGACAATTCCATATATAAAATCGTGCTATTTATTTATTGAGAAAAGCAGAAAAATAAACTTATTTATTTATCTAAAAAAAATACAAATTGAAAAATATTTTCTTTGAAAAACAATTACTATGAATACTTACAGAAGAAAAAGATATCAACTGACCTTAAAGAAAAATTTACTTAAATGAAACGGCAAATTTATACAAAATAGTGAATCACCGCCTACCACATCAAAAACGGTGTGTAACAACCCTGTGAATAGTCAGTCACGTTATGACGTGCAATAATAATTGAGATTACCTTAGGCCCAATCCTTTCTCTCCCCACCTTCCATCCTCAACTATTAAATCTCCAACCCCCAAAAGGCCGTACTTTTAACTCCTCTAACATTACAGGTTTTCATAATCAGCGCCAGAGAGTATTTTCGACAACATAAACAAAGTCTAAAGTAAAATTTCACAAAAACAACGATACGAAATAAAATATTTATTATTAAAGAATTTATTCAATAATCGACTTTATTTCTGTTGAGTTGAATAACAATCGAATACGATTTCTAAAGATGAAATGAAATTATGAAGAGGATTAAAATCAAGCAGATTAAATCTCTGGATTTTCTTTCAATAGCTGGTAACGAGATGTTTGGCGGACTGTGAGAATAATATTTCTATTGATAGAAGATATCTACCTATATATATTTATCTATAGATCAATTCTTCATCATCACCAGCCAGCTGGAAAACGTCGACTGTTGCATAAAGACATATTCCTCCTCAACATTTTTTTTAAGTGGTGGAAAGGAGCCGAGAGTGACCTTAGAGAGACCTTGTGGTAAGCAATCAACGCCGTCCACGAATGCTAGTAATACTAAAGGAGTTACTAGAAGTGCATTGCTGGCCGTTAGTAGGGGCTTAAGCAAAGGAGATTTAGGAATAGAGGTCGGATGAAAGGTTGGGCCTTCGGAAACCTCACTCACACGACGAAAGACAAGACGGCGTTAGTCACGCCGATATCTCTGTCTGTCTAAGTTTGGCTCTCCCACACTTTGAATTTAGAAATATCGTGCTTACAAATACGTGTCTTTAAATAATAATATTAATGTGTTGTGTTTCGCCGTGTGAGTAAGGTTATATACCAGGGGCCTAATCCTTCGCGTCCCCCCAATCCCTATATCTCCAAATCCTTAATCCATAAAAGGTGGCAAGATAATCGTAACTCCTCTGTTGTTGCGGGTGTCCATGGGCGGTGCTGATTGCTTACCATCAGGTAATCCGTTTGCTAGTTTGCCAAACTATTACACAAACCATTTATTTGATAAAGTCTTTCCTTGTCTTTTCCTCCACGTGAAGCCTGTAAAGCGTCCACTTAAGCACAAATATTAAATGAGCATTGTGTTGTAACATAAAACTACAAACTAAGATTTAGAGTCCCAACAAATAATTATTCGAAAAATATCAACCGAATAACACTTTTATTCGATTTAAATCGTACAATCGAGCCACAAATTTTGTGTCACCTTGGAGTGAAATTATTGATACAATTGGTTCTCTTTTTAAATATTAAATTAGTTGCACAAATATTTTTTTAATAAGAAAGTTATTTAAACAATAAGCTAAATTTAATATAAAAAGAGAATTTTTGGCAGCGACAACAGTGTCTATCTGGTACCTACATGTGTCTGTGGTTTACAAAATGAGGCTCATAACTACAGTAGGCGTTCTTATTCTGTGGTAAGATTTTCTAACTTTTTTGGTTTATAATATTTTGGAATAGGTGGACTTAATGGCATGGTCATAATCGTCAGTCTACCTTTGGGTAATGTAGAAAAGGTATGTTAGGTGTAATAACAAAGAAAATTCACCACATATAACTTTTATTACAAAATGCAACTTAAAAATATCCTTACCTATCTATAAATATAAGTAATGATAATATTGTTAATACATTTTAGAGCAACATTATTTCACAGTCATCTTCTTGCCTCCCAGTCATATCGCGAATTATTTTTACTAGCACAATTTCTTCCTGCACTCTCTCATAACAGATGTCACCTCTTTCTTTTTATATAGTAACAATTTATATTTTAAATTTTTGTGTCCTTCTTTCCTTGTTACATAATCAAGTTTTAAGAAATAAAATATTGCCTACTTGATTCATAATATTTTCTCACGAAAACGCTAGACGTAGGTAATTCAAATATTATGATATCTATTTATAGTTAATAATCTTCTTTCAGTTCAAATAAATTACCAATTTTATTCATATCACTGTCCCACACCCAAATCTTTTCATTGAATGCGTGAACACTTATTGTCATAAATACTGATAAAACTTAATAAAGCTACTTGTCATCCGTCACTTTAATATATCAGCATCAATAACAAAAATACATTTGTGACTGTCCAAAATTTTATCAATCTAATAGTAATGTGTAATACTACAAAGCAGTATTTATTTTTTTGATGACTCAAAAGCTATAAGATACTACCGACGATAAGATTTGGGGTAAGAACAATAAGGTACTGCAGCCTCACCCTGGAGCAGGAGAAGGGATGGACGGGCTTGTAGTTAGTAAGAGCCATTTTTTGTGAGAGGAAAATCATCAAATGGCTTCTCCCGCCCAGGGCCGGGCGGGAGGGAGTGTCAGACTCTTACTGACTAAGAACCCCCTCGTTCCTTCTTCTGCTCTGGGCCGAGGTCGCGGTGCCTCATTGCGCTTACCCCGCAACCCCGGCTGAACATCAGCCCTATAGGGCCCTGTCTGTGGTGGTCTATTGGCTCTTTGAGGCGCGCGCGGAACGCTACGCGCCGTACGCTCGGGCAGTTAGTAAGAGTCTGACATTCGCTTAGGACGAAACAAGTCTTTTGATTGTCTACTTACATAAAAAACTACAATAACATAAACACACGTTTTATACAGCTTCTTCTACTACATTACATCAAATTTCTGTCCTTTTTGAAAGCGGCCACGGATAACATTCGGAATTGTGAAAAATGTAGTTCCTGATTTCTATCTTATTCTATTTTATTTCTTTCTCTAGAGAAACTCAGAGCCGTTAACAGAGAGAGCTATGTTCGATGTTTTCTTTGCATCAAAAACCAATATTTTAAATACACCAAAGAACGCCATTTACTGACACAGCTCTCAATATCTATAAGCTGAAATGGCAATAGCCGGGACATGTCGCGTCACTCGAAAAAATATGGTCAACAAACTAAAAAAGCACTCAAATGGAGATGCAATGTAGGCAGGCCAGGCAGACCAACTTCGTAAAGAAAAAAAAAACATTTGTTTCCAGTGCCATACACAACATCTCATGTGATGACGATGTAACTCTAGTAGAAGTGGAGCAAGGTCAACTTCGAGGCCAGGTACTGGATGCCGTCGTTGGAGACTTTCAGTACTTCAGCTTCAAGGGTATCCCCTACGCCAAGCCTCCTGTTGGGAAACTCAGATTCAAGGTAGATAACGATCTAAATTTAGAAATCACAAGCACAAGGCCTCCTGATAGACAGTTTTGTCTTATAAAACAAACATAGAAAATATAGTCGTACTTATTTTTAAACTCCCAAACATATTTTATCCAACAAAAAATCTATTTTTAATGTAGGTATGAACAAATGCTTTGTATCTTTACCGAATAGTAGAATAATATTCAATAAAATTCTGTCTTGTTATGTAGAAATTAGAAATTTGCAAAAACGCGGTGATATTTTAAATAGCGGAATTAATTCGCAGGATCCAGAATATCTAGATTCATGGGAAGGAGTATTGGACGCCACGGAACATGGAAGCGTCTGTCCACAATTCAACCCAATAACTGCAGTGTACACCTCCGGCAGTGAAGACTGTCTTTTCCTCAACGTCTATACCCCAAACGTCGCACCCGACACCCTTCTCCCAGTGGTCGTATTCATCCACGGTGGAGCCTACATCTTTGGGTCCGGCAACACAGACTTGTACAGACCAGACTACCTACTTGCCAATGATGTGGTAGTAGTGACTATCAATTATAGATTAGGCGTTTTGGGATTCCTGTCCCTAGGCAATGAAGATGTACCTGGTAATGCTGCACTAAAGGATCAAGTCACTGCCTTGAAATGGGTGCAAAGGAATATCAAAAAGTTCGGAGGAGACCCGAATAGCGTCACTATTGTAGGAGACACTGCTGGTGGAGCATCAGTCACCCTCCACATGTTGTCCCCTATGTCGAAAGGACTGTTCCACAAAGCTATTGCAATGAGCGGTTCTGCAACTTGTGATTTTGGTCTTACTTATAAACATGAAGAAAAAGCAAAAATTTTCGGTAAAGCGCTTAACTGTGAAAATGTTGATAATAGTACAGCACTTCTCGATTGCCTTCAGGCCGCTGATTATGATGCTTTCTATTCTATCACTCCCACGGTTCTAGCTTCAGAAGAGATAACAGATGTCCTCTTCAAAATGGAACACTTTACACCAGTTATAGAAAAGAAAACTGGAAACAACTTCCTTACTGAAAACTACTACAGCGCATTGACGAAAGGACACGTGAACAAGGATGTGGACTTCATAATTGGATACAGCAGTCAAGAGGCGGTACTCCTTATCGACCTTTACAACGCTTCTTACGTAGATTTGTACAACAGATACAGGGAACTGTTCACCCCCAGCGAAATACTCACTAAGAGTACTCCAGACACTAATTTAGAAGTTGCTGAGAATGTGAAGAAGTTCTACTTCGGTGAGAAACCTGTTAAAGTTGAAAACTTGGACTTGTTCGTGAAATATTCGAGTAGCGCTAGTATAGGTTACCATGCCCAGAGGTACGCCAACAAATGGGCCAATTTCGGTAAGAAAACTTACTTCTACATATTCGACGGCTTTACAAAGTGGAATTTCTTCGGACAACAAGGTGCCAAATATGGGATCAAGAAAGCCAGCCATTTTGACATCACTTACTATATGTTCTGGCCTGAATCACTGAACTGGTCCATCGATACCGACAGCGTCGAATACCAAGTGACGAAAAGACTAACTACGGCGGTCACAAACTTCGCAAAGTCAAGGTAAACAGCATACCTAAATATTATCGCGTATTTTTGTAAAATTACCCTACATACGTCTAGTCTGGCTCTTTTTAATTTAAAAGATCAACTTTATAGTTTTTTCATAAAGTCGTTTTTTGAAGAACCCAATTAAGGGTTATCTGGAGTGCTGGCTTGATATTTTAATTTTAATTATTATTTATAGTGATCCAAGTGTGGATGGTGTGACATGGCCAGAGTACAGCGCCTCAAACAAAGCTTACGTGACCTTCGGTAACGATGGCCTCGAGGTGGGTTATGGACCTGATGAAGATGACTACAACTTCTGGGAAGGAGTGTACAAGCGAGCTGGGATACCATTTTAATTCTTAAACTTAAAAAAAAACTGGTTATTTATAAAGACTACAATTGCAATAAAATAACCTTGTATCTGTTTCGCGTAGTACAGCTCATAAACCGTTATTATTTTTTTAGAACCTTATATTAACCTTATATTTTTGAACATTTTACTTGTCGTCGTATCTTGTGTACCGACGTTTTGTATTCACAACACAATATTAAAAAGAAATATTGAAATCCTTTTTGTTTTTCTTAATATAAAACTCCTATTTTGTCTCAGTTGTAAGTACAGTTCATGTGTTTAAATAAAGCTTTACTGAATTTCTATTTATATAAGCAAGATTTTCAGCATAGAAAGATTTAGGCTAATTTGCAGGATTAGTATTTTTAGGCAAACATTTTACCTAATCGGATTTATAAGTCAAAATCAATAGATTCAATGAATGATAAATGACGCAAGACTTAATACGCCGAAGTATAGAGATAAGGCCTATTTTGATAATGTAAGAAAATTAACAGTTACAATTGAAGTGAATTAAAGCAATAATCAACATGAATGACCAAAATCTTCATGTAAATATGCCTTTATTTAATTGAAGGCGGCCTTTATTGTGTACCTGAAGGTAAGCTATCAGCGCCGCCCATTGGCACCCGCAAAAACGAAGGAGTTATAAGTGCGTTGTCAGTCCTTTGGGGATAAGAGTTTCGTTGATTTAGGGATCTGGGGGAGGGGAAGGATTGATTCTCCGGTCACCTCAATTACGGCGACACACAACGCTGTGATTGTTTCACGCCGGTTTCCTATGAGGCCGTGGGATCAGTCCAGTCGAGCCGACCCATAAGCCCATTACATATAAGTTAATGTTACTTATATAATCTTTAAGATGAATGACAAATCCAGTATTAGTATAATCGCTTTTATTATTATCTTATCTAGAACAATTAAAGTTTGTAGAATACCTAACAATAATGACTGCCTATCTGTTCAGTAAATAAAAAAATTGTTGTTATGTGAAGTTATTTACACAAAATGTATCAATTTACAATGAAGAAAGGTCTCATTATTATGTATAAAAACATATTTTTTCCCGCTTTAAGAGTAAAATATTTCGATTAAGAAGTATGACACAGTTTAGGCTTGTATGGAGGAGTACAAAAATTAATCAAATTTAATCAACAAAAATGCTTGTATTTATTTACTTCATAATGTATTTTTATTAATTTAAAACAACGGGCCTGTTTCGATATCTTTTTGTATTTGAAAAACAAATGAAGCACATTTTTTTAAATTCAAAATCATAAAATACGTTCTTAATTTAAAATAGGGTAACTCGCCGCTTGACCAGAACCAGACCCGAGCGTCCTCAAAGAGCCAATAGACCACCATAGACGGCCCCTATAGGGCTGATGTTCAGCCGGGGTTGCGGCACAAGCGCAATGAGGCACCGCGGCCTCGGCCCAGAGCAATGGAAGGAACGGGGGTTTTTAGTCACTAAGAGTCTGACACTCCCTCACGCCCCACCCTGGGCAGAGAAGAAGAGAGGAAAGAGAAGTCATTTGATGATTTCCCGTCGCCGAAAAAAAATCTTATAGGCATACATACATTGACGACAAAAAAACAATAGAACAACATACATTGTTATATAATAACACCAGTCAGATATAAATAACATCAATCAAAACAAACCATGTTACTAAGATAAGATTATATTGTACAAATTACTTATAGAAATCAATAAAAATATAAACGTATTGATAATGATATCCTCAATGGAACATAACCATGATAGTGACTGTTCAATACTAACTTTTGTATAGTCATTAAAGATATAACTATCATGTCATGGCAAACAACGGACTATATATAATTATATCAGCCATCTTACGTGTCAGTTTTGACGTGGTGTGACAGGAGTATGACATTTGTCTTGTGAAGCAATTCTTTTTTGTAAACAATTCGAAATTTGAACTGTGAAAATACGGTAAGCATTTTTTTTTGTTATAATTTTGAAATTAGAACAAAATATTTGTATAAAAAAAGTTATAATACGAATTGACAAGATGTTAAATAGGTAATTTATCGATTTTATATTATTACCTATATGAAATAGTTTTTTTTTACAATCTGAGAATTATTTTGGTATTTACACATCACATTTGTAAACATTACAATTATTTATTAAACAAATGACCTTCGATTTAAAAAATATAATTTATTTACTAAAAACCAGTAGACAACATTAAATTAAACATTGAATTAAAATTAGATTTACATAAATTTGAATTTTCAATTCAGTAGATTTTAAAAAATATTTTCTAGAATAAAACATTAGGTATCATGTTTGTATGACTTCTCCAACTAATACAAATTCCATCTTTATTTAGATCGTGTCACGCTAAATTGGACCTTATGTAAATGGCATCATGTCAGTTCGCTGTCAGTTGAGTGAACGATTGATTGTGAACTAAAACCTGTGGCTGTTTAAAAATACATTCTAAATTCCAAAGATAAAGATATAAGGTATAGAATCCTATTTAATAGAATGTTAATAATTTAATTTTATGTAAATGTTGGTATTACGTTGTGTAGTGTCTTCCCGGAGATAGTTAAATCTGTCGTAGTATTTTTTCTTTTTTATTTATTTTTTGTTACATTTTGGATCAATTCTTTTCACTGACTTTTCGGTAAGTGCAATCAAATATTGTAAGATAGATGTTGAAGATGAAATTATAAAATGCAATTTAAATTGTATCAACACAAGTAAAAGAAATTTAGAACCGTCAACTATTCGCTTCAAGGTTGTAAAAGAATTAATTGAAAAGTACGACGGTTGGCATAAAATATTAACAGATGGTTCAAAAAATTCGCTTTTGTTTAAAATTAATAACTCGTATGCATCGATTATGACCTTGTAGCTCATTGCAGTTTTAGAAGCAATTAATAATATTAGCTGTTTGAATACGGATAAATAGTAATATTTACTGATAGCAAAATTGCTTTACAGCATTTAGCTCGTTGCGCCTCTGGCTCGAGAGGCGTATATCGCGTAGCGTATGCAATATTAAAGCAAATAAAAATTATGGAAAACTACGGCCAGGTTCTAAAACCATCTCATATTGGTCTAAGTGGTAACGAGGAGGCTGACAATTTGGTTAAATTAGCAATCACAGATGGAAATATCTACAATATAAAATTACTACATAGTGAATATCTTGTTGCAGCAAAAATCAAATGTCAAAGCTTATTCAGAGAGTATTTTGATGAGAGAAGCAAAGATAAAGGCATTTGGTATAAAACTATACAAAGTCAGCCTCCTCAGAAACCATGGTTCATAGACTATAAAGTATGTAGAAATATCATAGTTATAGCTAATAGATTACGTGCAGGACACTTTCCTTGTAATAAAATTATTTTTCTAATGAAAAAAATGTATCAATCAATATTGTATCAATTTTCTAATGAAATATGTGGTGTCCTTGATGATATTCAACATTTGTTAGTTGATTGTATAAAATATGCGAGAGACAGGGTCACTGGTGCGTGAATTTAAGTTAAATATGTTAGATGTGGGTAGTTTTACAACTGTTCTCTCAAATCCAACTTCTTCGGCAGCTATCTGTCTTGTTTAAGATATTCACGCATCATTGAGTCTTTAATATAATGTAAGTTAAAATGTCCTAACGGGGTTGACATGTGTTAGAACAAAAGCCCCTAAAACTATTGATTAAATAAAAAAAAAGATACTTAGATGTTTTTTAGACATATTTTATAGTGTTATATTTTTCTGATTTCAATTATTTCATGCAGATAGTTTTTGTTTTCCAACTACATTCTATAGACACAGAACAGAACAGAAACAGAATTCTAAATTTGAAAAAAAACAATAAAATTGACTAGATTCTGTACATAACAAAAAAAATATCACACATACTTTTGTTTTTCAAAAGAGTTAAGTAAGTAACAAAAATCCGAAAATATTGTCCATGAACTTTGCTCTCTTAAATGTTACTGTTTCTTAAGCTTGGCAACACAAACGAGAAACTGGTTTTGTTTTACTGGTTGTTATTTAATACTCGTAACACTTAATTAATTTGGACCTTGCGTTTTAAAACAAAGATCCAAACGGAACCAAGTACGATAAATCAAAAATGTCTACAGACTTTTTGTTGGTTATATTTTGAAATATAATTATAAGTATTACGTCGAGATGTTTAGAATTAAGTTTGGTAATATTGACAGCTTTTTATAGTCCACAATAAGGTTTTTATGTCGTTTTTTGAGGGAGAAAAATCAAATAACTTCTATCGCCGTGCGTGGAGCGAGAAGGTGTGTCAAACGTTGGCTGACTAAAATCATCCTGTTTTCTATCCTTCCCTATCCTGCTCCTTATAATGTTAGTTTTATGTATTGTTTTGTTTTAAAAAAACGTTGCCCCACACAAGGATTTTTCTTGTGTTGTGGGTGCGTTTAAAAACATACAATTTCACGTACACATCACACCCAGACCCGGAACAACAATTTGTGGATCACACAAAGTGTTGTTCCGTGCAGGAATCGAAACCGCGACACGTTGCGTGACAACCAGTTGTTTACGATTTGATGATCTGTCTGTTTGGTTACTGCAATATCGCAAAACAACAAAAAAAAAAAAACATATTTTTGAAAAAGGTTTCGAAATTGTATGTAGTTTAAAAGTATATCTTAACGCCAAAAAATTATTATTTTATTATCTTGGTAGGCTTGACTAATCGACCTGGTTGTTCACGTCGAAGGCTTGCAACCTGGGCAATGATATGTTGTAAACATAAAACGCAAAAGTTTAAAAATATAGTTTAAAAATGCTATTTATTGGTATTCCCTGCTGGCTAATGTCATATCTCCTTCCTCCTTCTTGTCAGCTCCTACGATACTTTTTGCGAAAAGTAAGGTCTAGAATACATTGTATAATGATACTCCAATATTCCCTTCAACTAAAGATCCTTGAGCGTACGGTGCCTAGCGTTCCGCGCGCGCCTCAAAGAGCCATTCGACCACCACAGACGGGGCCCTAAAGAGCTGATGTTCAGCCGGGGTTGCGGGGTAAGCGCAATGAGGTACCGCGACCTCGGCACAGAGCAGGAGAAGGAACAGGGGGGTTTTTAGACAGTAAGAGTCTGACACTCCCTCCTGCCCAGCCCTGGGCGGGAGAAGTCATTTGATGATTGTCCCCTCATAAAAAAAAACTAAAGATCCTTCCAAACTCGGTTGTGGAAGTGAGAACTATAAAATTGACTTACCCAATGCAACCGAAAAAAAACGAACTAAAGAAGTAAAACAGTAGCATTTACAGTAGAATTTAAATATGATCAACTGTTTACAAAATTAAACATTAAATAGCTATTCAATAGTCAATTTAATAATTACTATTCAAATAATTTATTGTCCACAAAATATATATATTTAACGAGAATATAATATTAATATGTAAATTAAGAAGCTCATTAACACTTGAGGCGTTGACCACACTCAAGAACTAATGACATTTGATATTCGTTTATATAAAGAACCATAATCTTTAGATGTACTTTGGTACTTATAGAATCATGAAATTGTTATTTATCAGATTCACTTTATTTTATCCAAACTTCCAAACTAATATTATAAATGCGAAAGTAACTGTCTTCCTGTCTGTCTTTTCTTGATGCCTAAACTACAGAAGCGATTTCTGTGAAATTTGGTACAGACATATTTTGGTACTCGAGAAAGGACATAGGATTTTTTTATACGAAAAATCTGCAGGAATTCACTATTTCACGCGAACGTAGTCGCGGGCAAAAGCTAGTTATAATTAATTAATCAAACTCCAAGCGAACCTGTTGTCTTACTATTTATTGTGTTTCTAGTGAGATGTGAAAAAGGCCAATTTACATGTACTAGTAACTAGTATTTTTTCTTATAAATTAAGATAATATTAGTTTACGAACATAAATAGTAACAAAACAAAACTTAGTTACGTAACATAAAAAATTGTCTACCTTACCTACCCATCTATATCTATAACAATATTATAAACTAGTAAAATTTTGTAAGTTTGTGTGTAGGAGGTAATCTTTGGGACCGCGTGAGAGTAGCTAGTAAATTATAACTTTATAAACCACTAGTTCCATAAAAATGTTGACGGTTGTCATGCAGGTTTTAGAGGCAGATTAAAATATATTTGCAGCATCCGGGGTTGTGAATGTAAGCGCTATAGTGTACCGAGGTCCGGCTCTCAGCATAGAGCTCAAAATATTAATACCACATACAATTTAAATACTTAACCCATTAGGAATATGTCGTAGGTTTAATAACGACCTTACTAAAAAAAGAAGATATTGTAATCTTAAAATTTATGTTTTAACAATAAGGTTCAATTTTGAAATACCCTCTTTGAAGAGCTAGGTCTGTTTTCTACTAAACATGCGATGTATTTACGGTACTGTATTAACTTGTTTATTTTTTCATAGCAATGGTTGAAGTTAAAGTGGAACAAGGACGTCTGGAGGGTGAATTGTTGGAGACAGTGACCGGAGATGGAAAATACTACAGCTTCAAAGGCATCCCCTACGCTCAGCCGCCGTTGGGGAAGTTGAGGTTCAAGGTCAGTCACTATAACTGTATCACTTTTTTACAACAGAGTAATATTACTGCGAGAATGTAAAGAAAATTGAAGATAAACGAAATGTAAACGATAGGTGACTTTTAAAAAACAACCATTCAGTCCTGTTCGTTTTTTCATTTATTTCAAAGCTTTGTATAGACAATACTACTATTGTTCATCTAAGACTCTTATTCATGAAAATAGCTCCGTTGTGAATTAAATATTTTAGAGCTTGTCTTAGTTAATTCACCTTTGGGAATCAAATCAATAAATCTTGCTATAGGCTCTAGTTTCTCAATAAATTATCATTATACTACACATTAATGTTAATCGAAGTTGAAACTAATAAATTAACAGTATTTTGCCACAAAAACGTTGATTGGATTTTTTGTGATATAATGCCGTTAACGAACAGACATAGGCACCGTCTATGGAAACCCGCAACACCAGAGAAGTTAAAAGTGGGTTGCCACCCTTATTGCCACAGTACGGCATTTCTATTTTCATTTTTAACATATTTTCCTTAACGGGTCCTCGATAAACGTACGAATGCAATTACAAACCTAATTGGCTTACCATATACATGATATAAATAATACAATAAGTGATCCGACTTCAAGGCAAGTATCTTAACTTGTCTAGACTACACTCCATAAAAGTAATGGTAAGATGCAAGTGGTTTAGGTATGAAATTTACATTTTGGTTATTTGAGTACCAACGGTGATGTCCTATGAGGCAAAAAGGAAATTCTGTTTAATATCAATAAAACATACCCTGTATTCTGCCATCTAATCTCCATAATTAGAAATGCTTTAAAATTAATAAATTTACGCAAAGTTAATAACACCTATCGTCTTTTTCTAGGCTCCTCAGCCGGCTCTACCCTGGGAAGGCGTCAGAAAAGCAACAGAATTCGGCCCAAAATGTCCACAGAAATGTATATTCACGAACACTGTTCAGCTTGGAAGCGAAGATTGTTTGTACTTGAATGTCTATAGCCCAGACATAAAACCAGCTACCCCGCTGCCAGTCATGGTATTCATTCACGGTGGCGGTTACAAAAGTGGCTCTGGTAACGACGATTTCTACGGACCAGACTTTCTCGTCCAACACGGCGTAGTCCTAGTAACCTTTAACTACAGACTTGAAGTACTCGGCTTTTTGTGCTTGGACACCAAGGAAGTTCCCGGAAATGCTGGCCTAAAGGACCAAGTTGCTGCTCTCCGATGGGTGCAAAAGAACATCAAAAATTTTGGTGGAGATCCAAATAATGTAACAGTTTTTGGAGAAAGTGCTGGTGGTGCGTCCACTTGCTTGCATGTAATCTCGCCCATGTCAAAAGGTCTCTTCAAGAAAGCTGCACCAATGAGTGGTGTACCTTTTTGCGATTGGTCTCAAGCTTTCTTACCTCAAAAACGTGCATTCCTACTTGGTAAGGACCTCGGTTTTGAAACTGATGATCCTGATAAGCTTCTAGAATTCCTGCAGACTGTACCATCAGAGAAACTTATAGATACAAATCCAGTAGTGCTATCCTTTGAAGAATACAGCAATAACATACTTAAGTTTTACCACTTCACTCCAGTTGTGGAAAAAGATTTTGGCAATAATGAAAATTTCTTAACAGAAGATCCTATCGAAGCATTGAGGCATAAGAGGATTAACGATGTTGATATTTTAATTGGTTATACGAGCCAAGAAGTTCTATTAGGAATACCAATGTTTGAAGAAAAATTTTTGAAGCATTATAATCGATTTTCAGAAGTATTGGTACCAAGAAAAATTCTTATGAAAAGCACTCCAGAAAAGATTCTGAAAGTGGCTGAGATGATTCACGATTTTTACTTCAATAAAAAGCCACTCACATTTGACGTCATGAAGGAATTTGTGAATTACGCAAATCATGCGTGTTTTTCCTATGATGTTAGTAGATTTGTAGCACGTCTGCCGAAGGTTGGAGCTGGTCGAAGATATGTGTACCGATTCTCCAGTTTTTCTGGTAGAAATGTCTATGGGTCTTTAGGATTGAAGTATGGCATTCGTGGAGCTTCTCACTTGGATGACCTGATGTACCTGTTCCATGCTAAGGAGCATAATATAAAGCTAGAAAAGAATACGAAGGAATACGAACTGGTCAATATGGTGTGCTCTGTATTTACCAACTTCGCTAAGCACGGGTGAGTGATAAGATAATATATATGGCTTTAGGCCTATCAAATAATCTCTGAGACTTAGTAACACTGATAATACAATTTTTATCGTATTTGTTTATTTACGTTACACTTCTCGAATATGTTTTTATTACTACCTACACTGTAATTAAAATTTCATTAGGAATGTCTCTTTCCTTTTTGTAATTTTTCTGTTTTGTAACCTACAAATTTCTATTTCCAGAAACCCAACTCCTGACTCCAGTCTGGGTGTAACCTGGCCTGAATATGATAACAAGACTGAACAGTACGTGGACATCGGAGACAGCCTAGAGATCAGGACACCAGCAGAAGATGAAGTAAAAGCCCTGGCCTTCTGGAAGAGTGTATTTGATTACGCTGGAGTGGAATATTGAGAAAATTTTATTGATCATAACAATATTATTTTTATGTAACATTTTAGTGTATATTATAAATAATTAGTGTTTTACGCATAAAGAAAAATCTATAAATTTGATAATCATTTTAGGTACTAACTAAGTCACGATCCACATTCAAAAGTGTATATTTGAAATAAATGATTTGATTTTTGACTAAGATCATTGTTGTGTCACGTCTGATAAAAACATTTTTCATTTTCCATAATGGTTGACATTATTGTAATTCCTTATGATACGTGAAGTGCATCCTATACATAAAATTTTACTATTCAGAAATTGTGAAATTCCGAAAAAATTACAATGATTTTTGCAATTTTACGACAAATAACTTACTATGAACGCGGAGGTATGTAAAGAAGCAGAAGGTATATTCTAAGCGATTGGATTCTGAAGGTACAAGTTAAACCACTGACCCTTCTCCAAGAGTCTGGTAATTGGCAACACTTATCACAAAGCTCGTATATCAATATTGGCGTTCAAACAGTACTCCAATATTTGTTGAGGATCCGTTTGTTTAGCAATAGAGGCGAGATCCAGAATTATGTGCCTAACTGAATAAATAACCATTTCTAGCATCGATATTTTACGTTTTATTATGGTTATTATTGTTCCTGATTATATTAATTAGCTATCAACGTTTCGTTTTGATATTGTTCTTATTTATTTTTCATTATAAATATTCATACTAAGTACGTTTAAATAATTATATTTATAAGAATTACGCTTCTTATTCTACAAACGTACAGAAAGTGGAGATTATTGAGCGTCTATTTGTAAATCTGTGCAAATTTCTCAATAACATCTCACAATGAAAAGGTGTTTGATAGGTCGCAGATATAGATTAGATTCTGCAGTGTGATTCTGTAAGACTTCATTGTAAACTTCGAATCTGAATCCGCCGTGAGTAGTAGTACACTAGCGCTACACTTGCGAGTTGAACTAAATTGACAGCAACATTTTGATAGATAAAGTATGAGATGACGTTAAAAGTGGCATTCTAAAATTTAATTTCCCCGTCATTTCGACGCTCACTTCGCATTCGAACACGATTTAAAATCAAACAAAGTATATAGAATCGACGTGCTGTATTTAAAATGACACTCATAACGAGTTTAATTAACTAGTTATTTTTATATTATAGGTCGGCAAACGAGCATACGGATTACCTACGCCCATGAACACCATGGGGGTGTCCATGGGCGGCGCTGAGGCGCAAAGGAGGAGTTACGAGTGCGTTGCCGACCTTTTAGGGATTAGGGATTTAGGGATTGAGGGAGGGGAAGGATTGGGCCTTCGGTAACCTCACTCACACGGCGAAACCAAAAATGATTACCAAAAATCAAAAAACTATAACCAATAAACAACACACAAACTATAATTGGAGTGTAATAGTTGAAGGGATTAGAACAGTGGGGTGCAGTGTGTGCGTTTGTACGGCTGAGTGCCGTTGCATATCCCGCCTGAATAATTTGTCTAATTAATTACCAGATCACCTAACATTGCATTGTATACAAGTGTTAAACAGGACCTTATAACAAATAGTATTAAGGTCATTTTACTTCAACATCACACATTATTGAGTAGGTTTCTTAGACAATGATTAATATTTTTTTGTAGGTAATAAGTTTTTTTTTTAATTTTGCATCTTTTCTGGGCATCCTGTTGTGTTAGATTTAGGTAAGATTTTATAAAATTAAAAATAAAACAAATTATTAATTATTTAAGATTATGAAAACGCTTTCTTTTTATGACAATAACACTAATTTTGTATTTGTTTATATTTCAAAAGGAATTTATATCCTCGTCGACGTCACATCCGCGTGGTATTTATAGAAAAATAACGACTTTGACATTTTCGAAAAAGTATTACATAAGATTAGTGAGAAACTATGTATCAGTCTCTTATATATGAAACCATAAATATAAATAGCTATACATAGGTATCAATGCAAACATAATAAATAACCAAAATGATAATAAATTGTGAAACAAAATATGACAGTTTAATAGATCAGGTTTACCATTTATTAAGAACGTGTAAATACCAAATTACGTTTTTTTTTTCTTAACGCTGACTTCTTTTTGGCCGTTAGGCATTTTTCCTATGTCAACGTGGGTGCGTTTACAAACATACAATTTAACGGAATTTCTGAAGTCCACAAAGGATTGCTGAACCACAGCCCCGACCATGCAGTCATTGATCATTGGAGCTCATCCATGCCATGGAACGACCGATAATAAGACCACAGCTCACGTTTCGCTGTACGACTGCAACTTGGTGACCTCAGGGTGGAAAAATGGCGGAAGGTGTAGGAGATCCAATACAAACACAATGCTGTTGAAACTCAATGTTGTGTATCACGGTGAGAATGAGGTTACCGGAGACCCAATCCTACCCTCTCCTCTTCCCTCCCCAATCCCTAAATCTCCGGGATCCTAATCAACTTAAATTAAAACAACAGTAAAACAAATAATATAAATATGTATTAATGAATACAAGAATATACTGAAATTATATCTCCAACAATTGTACATTTAAATTATTTATGCATGTTAATCTACTCGTGAACTTTTCTTGTGCAATGTAGGATTAGTAACGTCATCTAAGATTTTGATATCCAATCTTCTTTCTTCTCTTCTTAAATGCAGTATTTAAACTTTTTAAAGAACGATTCAATACACAGTAATATTGTCTTCGGATTAGAGAGTTAGTTTAGTTTTTAAAAAACATTACCCCACACTAGGGTTTTTCTCCTGTGTCGTGGATACGTCGATATTTGTGTGATACAAACATACAATTTCACACACACATCACACCCAGACCTGGAACAACAACTCGCGGATCACAGAAAGAGTTGTTCCATGCGGGAATCGCTGCCTGGGCACGTTGCGCGGCAACCAGTTGCCCAGCCACCGCCCCAAGCATGCAGTCAAAGAGTAAAATTATCTTTGCTTGATTTTTCTTGCTTGCCTGTTATAAGCTGTAAATTTAATTGCAAAGCTGTATCTCTGATAAAGAAGAAAATCTTTGAGTGTCTAAAATAAAATACATTAATTCGAGTGCACAAACCAACAAACGAGTCGACTTTACTATATTAGTACGGATTAGCTTAAGATTAATAACGAGTAGGTGTTGAAATCATAAAACATAATTTTTACACATGTAAACAGTATTTCCTTGATAGTTACAAATTGGTTATCCAAATTACAAATTCCTTAACGAATCATAACATTTATTAAATGGGTGTTTTTTGGATATTTCCTTAACAAATGTGTGTATATGATATTCTTAAATCCGCACATTTTTTCTACGTCTACATAATTAACTATTTTTTTTAATTTGATAGGGCGGGCCTTTGCTAATCTGATGGTAAGCAATCGAGGCCGCCCATGGCCACCCGCAATCCCAGAGAAGTTACGAGTACGTTGCCAGCCTTTCGTGAATTAGGGTTTTAGACCACCGGTAACCGGCTCACGGTGACACACAATGCTGAAATTGTTTCACGTCACTTTTCTGTGAAGCCATGGTGTTACTCCGATCGAGTTGTCTCGTGCTAAAACATGACACTGCCACACTTAGAGAGTACATTGTCTAATAGAAAATTTCACAGACCATTCTGGTCTGATGGATAAATATGATTGTTTTTGGATCGATTGAAATAAAAATGACTTTGAACTCAGATATCACATAAGCTGTCCCCGTAATAATTTATTTAAAGCGAAGGCGTTTGCAAGGATGAAGATCTAATTCAATAACCAAATATTGTATGTTTGTTAAGAAATTATCAACTACTTAATAATGATAGGGCAATAACACTTTGAATAGCAAAACTGTGGTCATCGTTACATTATCACAACTCTTTTACTAAAATCGTCTTTATTTATCTTTATACACAGTCATTCTATTTTTACCTAAACATTAAAAAAATACATGGTATATATCCTACTGTTAAAGGGGGAGAGAAAAGCCACAGCTACATGAGCTCTAGGGATAGGAAACTCCGGGCTATAAGCGCCATATCGAGAAATACTACATCTCTTTTAACCGAATTTTAGCCTACTCAGATATCCAATGTTACAATTGTAAACGCAATTATTTACTCCTGCCCCGGTCGGAAACAAGACAAGGACCGGAATGCTTTTCAGTCAGTAAGAGTCTGACACTCCCTATTTCCCACCCACGGCGGGAGAAGTTATTTGATAAATAAATACATAACTCCGTTAAAAAATCTGAAACCACAAAATGCTTCATTTTTCAATTCTAAATTCAAATCTAGAGAACCCGTTGAGCATTTTGCATAACCTCAAATTGAGACCTGCCATCTTCTCCCTCACTCACACTGCTAAACATTGTTTGTGTTCTATTTTTGTCAGCCATTGTGTTGTTTTTATGTGTGTATATCAAAACTTGTTGCCCTTTAATAAAGGTCACTAACGGATTACAAAAAAAAAAAAACATCACAATGTTCATTATTTTGGACATCCTGATTGATGGCTAGTCAGTTCTCATGTTTCCGTAACCAGGTATATATTCAACACCAGATATTCCGAGAATAAGTTGAATCTATTTTTGAAATATCAAATAAAAATTCTTAGTAGCACCTACGAAATATATACTATACTATGTATGTTATTCACGTTAACAATTTATTTGACTTCTGTGAAAAGGGATAGCCGCATATCGGTTCGGCTCCATCAATTGTAGTCAGTATTTACTCAAGTTCCAAGAATAGATGAAAATATTGTTTCAATTTTTGGTAGGTACGTTTCCATAGAAGCAAAATTGCCAGTATGTATATGCGAGTACCATGTTCGAGACGATATAGGATTTAAATTTAATGTTAAAGAATTGATCCCGTAATTTATATGTAGTTCTTTTTCAAAACTTATGTTATTCTTACATTTTACAATATTGTAATAAGAAATGTATTTATGAGATTGAATGACACATTTTTAACAGAGTAGCGTTGGAATTTCTTGCTCTTTCTTTTTTATTTGAATCTGTCTAAAGTCTGTTTGGACTAATAATCTATTTTTAGATGTATTTGTTTAGTTGAAATGTTTGATTGAATTTGAATTTCATTGAGCGCCTTGGGATGCAAAAAATCTTTACACAAAGAGCCTTGTACAAAATGTATAGGAAACTGTAACTTGGAAATCCGCAAAGATGTGCAGCTACGTAGGAGATTAGGAGTTTCAGGGTCGAAAGATTAGTCTATGGTCCAGTGGTGGACTAAAACAGACTGCTGGCAATCAATTACACGTACCTATCCAAGTCAGTATTTAGCTCCTAAATCACGTAAATTACTGTTTTATTAGGTATTATACATATAAGAATGACTATCTGCCTAAATCACTTATTTAACCGTTTCTTAACCCGGCCCTTAGCAGTGGTTTCTGCACCAAAATGGTGTCTAAGCTATCATTAAATGTCTTTGAGTATGGCAGCATAAGAATGTAACCTGGATCGACTGGAATGACACCACGGCCCGACAGAACCCTAGCGTGGTTACCCAAAGAACTAAATGAAACAAAGTAAAAGCACAAAGACATATACATATATTATAACAAAATGCGACTTGGAAATGAGGTGCAAAATTATAGTATGCATTTTTGAAATTTCGATTTGCATATTATATTTTCAACCATTTCAAACAATTTTAAAGCATAAATAACGAAGTGTTTATTATAAAATTAGAATTTTACGACCATAAAAATCAAATTATCACGTGATAAAATTTGATTTTAAAACGGTGATTATGTTATTATTGAATATGAATTAATTACACAAAAAACTTAAGTAGGTATATGCATCGTTGTCATTGGAGACTGACCTCACAGCAACATTTTAAGACAGTTTTTAAATTTTTCCACAAAGTTATAGCCAACAATATCACCATCATCATCATCATCATGATCATCATCATCATCATCATCATCATCATCATCATCATCATCATCATCATCATCATCATGATCATCATCATCATCAGGAAGACGTCCACAGCTGAACAAAGCCTCCCCTCCCCCCTTCTCTTAATTAGTTCTTCACCATCGAACGACACCTACACTCGAGGTTGCGGGAGCAAGATAGGGGTTTTAGTCAGTAAGAGGCTGACTTTCATCCATTTTCTCCTTGCGACTTCGGCGTGGGTCCATCCAGAGGAAAGCCTGCCCGTGCTACGTTTACCAGTCATACTCTATAGCTCATTTAAATTTTTTTAAAACATGACACCGCTTGGCTTAGAGATAGAGTACGTGCGTTCTAAATGTCCACCGATCTTAATCCATCTACTAAGTGTAGCTATTATCATAAATCTTTGTGGGAGACCATTGTTGAACAGCGGTGTTTCAGTTAATGATAAACGTAATTCATTGGTAATAACTGTCTTGTGAAATGACAACACTATTGTTGTATATAAACCTGTAATATTCTGATATTGCAGATATAGGTATATCATCATGCGCAGCATTGATATATATCTGTCATAAGTTGCTGGTAGCATACTCATTAAAGGCACGTTACATACGGATATACGAAACAGACTGATCAAAAAACACGGCGCGGGCGCCAGCAAAAAATATACCTACATTTTGTGATGCCATAAATTATAATAACAAAGTACTGAGTCAACATATTCAAACTTCCATATTTTCTTAAGATAATATTTTTATTTGATTGTATATTAATAATGTTGTATTATAAAACGGTGCTATAAATCTTACATAATTCGGAAATAACTAATTTAGTTTTTTTTTTTGTTCCGAGAACTATATTTATGGAGCGACGTCGCATATCGTTTCAGTCATTATTATTTTGCCAAGGTGGACACTTGTGGACATAAGTGTGTAGAGAGATGGTGCAAGTGAGAGTGAGCGAAGGTTTACTAGAGGGGGAGCAGGTTCAGAATGAGTATGGAGGCTCGTTCTACAGGTTTAGAGGCATACCTTACGCCCAACCACCACTTGGAGATCTTCGGTTTAAGGTAGGATTACTAAATTATTCATACAATTTTAGAGAATGACAATGATAACCGAAATAGTTTCCTAAATAGTTTTATCAAATTTCTTTTCTCTACCTAAATATACTTTATTAGGAAACGTATTACATTTCAAATTTATACAGAAAATAATATAAGTAGTTGAATACAATGCCTAAGCAATATTAAATTATTTACAGCCACCACAACCGCTAAAACCATGGCAGGGCGTGCGACAGGCCAAGCAATTTGGCACAGTGTGCTACCAGTATAACGCCACCAACCCTGGACTGTCAAACATGAGTGAAGATTGCTTATATGTAAATGTTTACACTCCAGACATTAAGCCTGCAACCCCTCTTCCGGTCATGGTTTGGATCCACGGAGGAGGATTCGTATGGGGAAGTGGTAATGATGATCTTTACGGTCCAGAGTTTCTGATCAGACATAATGTTGTTCTAGTCACACTCAACTACAGGCTCGAAGTCCTCGGATTTCTTTGCCTTGACACCGAAGACATTCCTGGCAACGCGGGCATGAAAGATCAAGTAGCAGCCCTCAGATGGGTGAAAAGGAACATTGCCAATTTTGGAGGCAACCCTGACAACATCACAATATTTGGAGAGAGTGCTGGTGGTGGAAGTGTTTCATATCATCTCATATCTCCAATGTCAAAAGGTCTCTTCAATCGAGCTATCCCACAGAGCGGAGCCTCCACATGTTTTTGGGCTAAGGCATTTGAACCAAAAGAAAAGGCTATACTTCTCGCTAAGCAACTTGGTTTCCATTCAGAAGATGAAAAAGAATTGTATGAATTCTTTAAGAATCAACCTGTGGAAAACCTGGTCAACTTAAACTTACAAGTAACAACGTCACAGAAACCTTATGAAATTCATTTTAGTGTAACAAGTGAAAAAGATTTTGGACAGGAAAGATTCTTTTATGGCGATATTATCGACGCAATCCAAAGCAACTTACATGAAGGCGTAGACATTATGACGGGTTATACAAAGGACGAGTACACAATCTCTGTATCCCTCGGTGGACCATTGGAAGATATTCTTGCGAAAGCTCAGAGATACCGTGAGGCTTTCACCCCCAAAATAATACAAAACTACGGAACGATAAGCGACCAGCTAGAAGCTGCAAGAAAGTTACAAAAATTTTACTATAAGAACGAAAGGGTATCAATGGATAATATCGATACATTATTAAACTACATAGGCGTGGAAATGTTCGTTCATGGCGTGATGTTGGCGGCGAAGTTGTATTCAAAGAAGAATAAAGTCTACTTTTACAAATTCAATTGTTTCTCTGAGAGGAATGTCTTCGCGCATGCCTTTTGCGTCGGCTATTTAACGGAAGGCCGGTCCATAGTAAGTCATGCGGATGAATTGGCATATCTCTTCCCAGTGAAACTTTTCTCACAAAAAGTTGATAGAACATCGGACACATTCAAACTGATTGACAGGGTCACTAAACTTTGGACAAACTTCGCCAAATACGGGTGAGTGATTTTTTTATCTTTTCAATAAAATGCCCAGTAAAGATATTTTCTTTGAGATAAAATACAAGTGTCTTTGTGTGATTAATATATGCTACTTTAATTATTAGCTTGACATATTTTTATAAGTATTCTTTTGTCATTGTTTACGATTGGAAAAGTTTTACGTTTTGAAATGAGCGTGTCATTAATTTGTTCATTCTAATTTATTTGTATTTTAACAAAATTAAACTGATTGTAGTAAAAAGTGTCACGAAAATGTTCAGTCATAAAAAGTACAGTTTTACAATTTTGAATTACTTCAAAACATGTGATTTTGTTTGTTTATAGAAACCCGACTCCTGACGACAGCCTCGGAGTGAAGTGGCTCCCTTACACCCTGGCAGCGCAGGATTATATGGACATTGGTAACAAGCTGGTTGCTGGGAAATCACCAGACAAAGAAGAACTGGACTTCTGGGAATCGGTACACCAGCAACATCTGCCTAAATTCAGTATGCTTCACAAATAATAATAGGTACTAAATTCATAATATAATCATAAGCTTGCACCAAAAGCTATACCAAACTGGATTTTGTTTAACATATTTTCAAATCTATATTCGTCTATATAAAGTTGTAAATCTAATTAACTGTTCGGATAGCTTGACATGACGGCTCTTGTAGAGATAAGAAATAGTTTTATTTTTGTATAAAAAAAATGTTTTTATTTAGGAGGTTTCCTCTATTCGAAAATAGTACAAACACCACAAGTGAATTTAGTGATATGAATTGTAATTTTAAGAACTTATATTAATTAATAAAATGAAATGATCATATACTGTTCTTGTTACTTTTTAATGTAAAATATCGGCAAACGACCAGACGGAGTATTTTTGGTAAGCAACCTTTGCTGCCCATGGACACCCACTACACCAGAGTAGTTGCACACTTACGACTTGCACGAGCTTTTGGGGATTAAGGGATAGGGTAGCGATGGGGAAAGGGGAAGGATTAAGCCTCACTTCACAAATGCATCGCTGTGATTGTTTCGCGGTGGTTATTCTTTAAGGCCGTCGTATCACTACAGCCGAACCAGCCCATTTGTGCCGACGAATTACTCTCTAACACATAAATATTCCTATAAATTATAACACTTTACATAACACAGCACACATTGTAATCTTGGTTAGTTCTCTATCCGTTTGTGTAGCGAGTTTTTTCGTTTCCTAGAAACTATACATCGCACTGTTTAGAAGACGGATTTGCTTTTTATAGAAAGTCAAATACAAAAACATTGTAATTGTAAAAAGTAGCACGTCGCTTCCCAGAATCGATAGACATGTCATTTTGCTAAATTTAAAAGAGGTATTTAATAAAACTTAAAAGAACAAAAGTTAAATTTTTTCTTGCTTTAGTATGTTTAGAATACAAAACAGTAAATCACAATCGGCATTCAATTCGCCTATGCATTGTATGTACGAGTATGCATGAAGATTTTGTACGCAAAAAAAAACTAACAGGTACAGCACTATTTAAAAATAACCTCACTAAATAACATACATTTAAAAACAAACTGGTTGACCATGTGTAAATTGCTAGGTAGTTGCTCAATTTTTAGATTAAGGAAAGGTTAAACAAAAATAAGGATTAAAGGTTTTTTTGACAATAACTTATTCCTTCCTGGGTCTTTCCTAACTAAGCTGCTAGGTGATCTCTGTAGACCTATTGATACACTAGATGGGGTAATAGGGTATATAAATAAAACTGCCTCTTTGTGTTGTACTCTGCTTGTATAACAACACTATAATATTACTAACACTACGTGGTCTATCAAAATGACAATTGCCTTATACTATTCCTGGTAACGAAACCATAGCTCGAATTTAAATTTTAATCGGAATTTAAATTTAATTCAACGCCATCTATCGAGCTATGAGACAACTCGTTACAATAAAATATTCTTTGAACTAAACATACATATATCTGATGATATTAAACACTGGGTGGGGTGAGGGGGAATGTCAAACTCTTACTGACTAAAAACTTCCCCGTTCATTCTCCAGCTCCAAGGCGGGGACGCGGTACATTATTTCGAGTACACCCGCAAAATTACCATTTAGGGCTGATGTCTAACCAGACCAACTACAGGTACTAGAGCATTCCAAAAGAATATCATGCAGTAAATCGTCATATACATTTCAATCGAACATACAATAATTATGGATATTAAATAATTTCAATATGTATAAAACATAGTGATACTAAAAATGTTAAAATGTCGATGTATTATTTAATGTTTTTTTCTCAATCACTCCTAATTAGTTGAATAATCGTGATGAATTTTGCTTCTGATGGTAGTTTCGTGTTGGGGGTGGTTTCGTCCATAAGCCATCCATCGATCTGAAGATAAGCAACCGGAGGTCATGGATACTAGAGAATTTACGAGTGCATTGCCGATACGTATTTGAGAATTGGGGACAATATCCCCATCAATGAGTCAATTCTTTATATTTTTCGTGATACAGTGCCAAACGAGCAGACAGATTATCTGCTGTTAAGCAAAAGGCGCTGTCCATGAACACCGGCCGACACCCGACACCAGTGGAGTTGTACGCTTGAAACTTTTTGCCGGCCTTTTGGGATATGTGCTTTTGGGGATTTGCGGATCGGGTAGCGATGAGGGGAGGAAAAGGAGTTGGGCCACCAGTTACTTGCACGGTTGGAACAACTCTTTGTGTGATCCACAAAAATCTTTTTCCGGTTCTGAGTGGTTTGTGCATGTGAAATTGTATGTTTGTAACCGCACCCACTACACAGGAGATAATTCTATTATGGGGCAACGTTTTATAAAAAAGTTACCTCGCTCACATTGTAAAACCGAACGTAAACGTTGTTTAACACCGGTTTGTGTAAGTAATCAGTAAATAAAATCCAGTCGAGTTGGACCATTCATGAAATTAGTCTCTACTATCCTCAAGAGTTTAACGGAGAACCGTAAAAAACAATTTTAACATTTTCAGCTTTGTCTTTTACCGCAATTATATCATACATGATAATTTCCACCTGCATCTATCTAGATTACAGTTAAAACGTTTTTCAAAACGTTTCACCATTTTTACAGGAGCTGGTAGCCTTTTATTGACACGGACAACACGCCAATTAGTCCTTTTTCTGATGCTATTTACATTTGCAACTTAATTAGGTACGAATGTATCCGATTATCTCATTGAATGAGGTCACCTCTGTGACCGCTGACTCCATCACCCATGGACCCATTTCTTAAGCCATTGTCTTTTATGCAAGAACTTATCTTATCTTGTGAATTAATTAGACTCTAAGTCTCATTTACGGAACGTGTCACGATCTGCGACTTTTCGAAAATGCCATACATTGCCCAATACTAGGATTTGCACCTGTGAAATGGGTGCGTTGACAAACATACAAATACACATTCACAAGCCACCCGGACCCGAAACAACAATTTCTGGATTACACAGTATTGTTCCGTACATCCATCGAACCCACGTCACGATGTACAAAAGACAGACGGCCACTGCGTCAACCGTGCAGTCAAATATTGTTTTCTGATGAATAGACGCACACGTTCCATTTTTGTTATATTGCTCATAAAAATAAACTGAGTCTAGTCTAGGCGAAATGGACAAGTATAGAATTTTTAACATCAGTAATATACCTTTGGTCACCTTTCTTGACATTGAAGAAAAACGTACATAAGTAGTAAGATAAAGCCATAAAGTAATTTTTATTTCGATATTAAGCTTTGTTTTGTGCTGTATGATAACCATCAGTCTAAGTGGGTCAGCCAGCTGGAGGTAGAACGGGGTGGTTATTAATTAGTAAGAGTCTGACACTCCCTCACTGAATGACTTCCTTCAGTTAAAGTTTTGTCATGAGATAAAGTAATAAGAATGCCCACTGATGCCAATACAATTCGTATACGAGAATTTTATGAAAATATATGGAATTATCCCGAAACTAATACTAAATAGGTATATATTTTATATGACAGGTCGGCAAAACAGTCGGATTATCTGATGGTAAGCAATCAGCGCCGCCCATGGATACAACAACAGAGGAGTTGCGAGTGCGTTACCGACCTTTTGGGGATTAGGTATTTGGGGTGTGCAAGGGTTGGGCCTCCGGTAACCTCACTCACACGGCGAAACATAACGCTGTTGTTGTTTCACGCCGGTTTTCTGTGAGGCCGTGGTATCACTCCGGTCGAGCCGATCCATTCGTGCCGAAGCATGGCTCTCCCACACTTAAACACACGAGCTCGTTAACAAAAAGTAGTTTATTTAAATATCAATAAGCATCATATTGGCGTACATTACAAATTCTATTTTCGAGCAACAACCATTTGGACATACTTAAATGTATGTATCATCAAACAAAGAGATCTTACTTCTGTATATAAATAGAACTGGTTTACATGTATTGTACATACAAATTATGTGTACATACATAAATATAAAGGTTTTCCAAACAACATAGTTTTCAAGGTCATTTGTGCTAGAGCGTAATTGACTCATTAGTCTAGTAGCTTCGAAACATGACTGTGGATGACAAGGTCATGGATTTATCTTTAGATTAAGCAAGACGTGTTAATTTTTAGGTTGCCTTCTTTAAAGGATAAAAACAATAACCAAACGATTAAGTAATAGTTACTGCTGTCTGTCTGTCTGTCAGTCTGACTGTCGCCAGGTTGTATCAAATGTGCCGTGATAGCTAGACATTTGAAATTTGGACCAGTTTAATATTTATGGTGCCACTTTAACAACAAAATAAAATAACTAAACATTTCGGGGCATATTATAGTATCTGCTGTCCAGATAGATACCAGAGAGAGGCCTTTGCCAAGCAGTGGGACACACGATAGGCTATAAAAAAAAATATAGTATCCCCCCTCACCCATCCTCGTGACTTTGACGCGGAAACCGTGTGCAAAGACAACGGACACTTTCTTGGTTTTTTTAGAATGATTTAGAGGAGCTGGAGAAAATTTTGGAAAAAGTGAAATGTTTGGCGGTGTATCATTTATGCGCCTTGGCGTTTATACCTTGATCCCTCTTTGGTCGAGTCAGATTCCTATCCAAATTGCTATACGATTTTTTTATTTTTATACATCTATTTTTATTCTTTACACTATATTTGATGAGACTGTTCTCAGTTTTCGTAACGGGTTTACAACCACGATTATAATAATAGCGGGTATTATTTTTGAATACCAATTATTATAGCAAACTTGTTTAAGCACTGCATATATCATGTAACTATAGACGATAACAACTGGAAAATTTCCACATCAGTCGTGAACAGTTTATCTAAGTTACCATTAGAATAAATTGTTCATTTCGAGTAACAAGCACTGAATACTTAGTATTTTTTTTACATATACATTACATTTTTAATACTACACCTAGATTTTTTTTATGTAATAAGTCGGCAAACGAGCAGATGGATTACCTGATGGTAAGCAGTCAGCGCCGCCCATGGACACCCGCAACGGAGGAGTTACGAGTGCGTTGCCGACCTTTTAGGGATTAGGGATT